TCTTCCAAGCTTGAGGTAGGGATTCTCTTAGAGTTATATATACATTCTTTATCAAAGTATTCCATAAACGGCAATACAAGAGCATAACTAAAATTAACCTTTCAATACTTTCAAAATCTTCCAAACATTCTCAATGTCTCGATAATTCCCAATAATTCTAAAAGATTCAATAGTCAAAGGGCCCTGTTTGGGTGTGCACTAATTCCAAACTAGTTTATTTCTGTTTGAAACCGGGAAGGGCCCTGTTTGGGTGTGCACTAATTCCAAACTAGTTTATTTCTGTTTGAAAACGGGAAGGGCCCTGTTTGGATGTACAGAAAATTCAAATCAGTTTAATTTGAATTCTGGATTTTATTTTACTAAAAATAAAATTAAATTCAAATGTTTTTGACCCAAAAAGATTAGTATTGGGCCGAACAAGCCCAACCCAACCACGCACCCGCGCCCAAGCCCAGGCCCAGCCCAGCCCGCCCGACCTGACAGGCGGCGGCAGCGGTGCGCGCACGCGTGTGTGGTGATTTTTGGGTCCAACGGGTCTAGCCCATTTTGCCCATAACCTCTCCCTCTAAAACACTTGGGTACCCCTTAGGGGACACCCCAAGTACCAAACTCATGCCTTATAAACCCTTTCAAAACTTTCTACCAAATCAATGTAGGACAAGCCATTTTACAACCTTAAGGAATTTCCACCAAAACTCCATTTCCATGGAGCACACTTTGGCTTCAATTTTCCATTCACTCGGTAATGGTTTTGAGCAACCAAATATACCACGTGAATCACAGCGTGGCATAGAACGCGTTACCACTTTGACCCGAGTAAATCGACACTCGGGGCCCACCTAAAAAATAGACCAAACTTGAGAAAAAATTCTGGTTTTACCCAGAATTTTTCTACCATTTCCAATAAAACTTGGTACCCGAAGGTTCGGCATTATAACAAAACAAAAAACTGAAATCATAACAAATTAATAGTGCAATAGAGTAAAATAAAAGAATACTTAAATCTTAATTTAATTATAACAAAAACATATATATTAAAACTTCTATTTAATTACATTACTAAAGCTCAACTATGACTATAAAGTGTCTTATACTTACTCCATGAGATGGTCCTAACACGTCACCTCAAAATTAATCTCTAACTTTAACTCTCTCATTCTCTAATTGCTTGCTTGTTTGTTTTGTTCCCATTCCTTCATAATTCCTATTTATACGAGATAAAATGCTCCACATTGGCATACCATGGCACCATAATGCATGCATACCACATGACACCACTTTTCTTTCTTTCAATTCATGAAAACATGATTTGCACAACTTTTCTCTTATTTTCACTTTGGCTCAAAAAAACTCTTTAGAATTATATTATCATCTTTTGATAAAACATAATATTCCTAATTTTAAATTAAATTATATTTTAGTGCATACAATGATAAAAGTAAATATGATGTTATAAGTGTCAAATTAACTATTTTAGCTTAAGGTATTTCAAAATAGATTATCATATAATTTTCGTAAAAGGTATTATTCAAGATGTTATAATATTCCTCCTTTTAAAATTTCGTCCTCAAATTTGATTTATGGAAAACAAAACAAAACATGAAATGTAAACCCATTATGGCCAGAAAGTAAATATGAAATGTGAACAATGATTACGTACAAAGAGAAATTATGGATTGGATTCATTAAACCTTTACTTTGTAGTAATGACTAATGATAGGAATGATATCAGGATCAATGAAGCCGATCCAATAGGTAATAGAACGATTTTCATAAATAGTATTATTTGGGGTGTTACTTTTTTTTAAAATAAACCATTACCTTGATGCCACTTTTGTCACGATCCAAATCCGATACCTGGAGGTTCGACGTCGCGACAAGACAAAAACTGATGTCATAACAAATTAATAGTAGCGGAGTGAAATAAAAGGACACCCAAATCTTAATTTAATTATAACAAAAACATAAATTGGAGTTTTTATTTAATTACATTATCAGTGTTGGACTATAATTATAAAGTGCCTTATGCCTACCCCACGCGATGGTTCTAACATGTTGTCTCAAAATTAATCCCTGACTTCAACTCGCGTGGGTCCTAACATGTCACCTCAAAATTAATCCCTAACTTCAACTCTCTCATTTTTATTGTTGTTTGCTTGTTTGTTTTGTTCCCCTTCCTTCATAATTTAACTCATATTTATAGGAGATCAAATGCACCCCATGGCATACCACATGGCATCATAATACATGCATACCATAAACATGACTGGCATAACTTTTTCCCTATTTTCACTTTGGCCTAAAAAAACTCTTTAGAATTACATTATCATCTTTTGATAAAATACAATAATCTCTAATTTCAAATTAAATTATATTTTAGCGCATATAATCATAAAAGTAAATACGATGTTCTAAGTGTCAAATTAACTATTTTAGCTTAAGGTATTTCAAAATAGATTATCGTATAATCTTCATAAAAGGTATTATTCGAGGTGTTACACTTAGCTACCATGCTATTATGAGTAGTACAAAAAATTTAACTTTCTTATACTTTTCACCATTTTCATGCTAAACAAACTCAAAAAAAACTATATATATATATATTTTCATTTATTCTTTTCTTCATCTTCATTCTAACTAACTGATTAGCCTAAGGTTTTTTTTTTTTTTTTTTTTTTTTAAATGACAGACCCACAATACAATCACATTCATGATTTTATTGTATGACTTTTATGTATGAATAGAATTTTCTTTATTTTATATTATAGTGGTACATAACAAGATATAATTTATTTTGATTCCTTACTAATTGTTTTCAAACAAGAACCAATCTTAAATATCCACATAGAGACAGAGTAATATAAAACAATGACAAAATATCAATCACATATAACATTTCTATTATAGCAATGATACTTGCATATTATGCCGCCAATTCATCAATCTTAATGTTCATCAACATTCATCAACAGCCTTGATGGACTCAGGGTTCATCAATGATGATCCATCTCAAACCCACCAGAATACCCACTCAAAGAGCTCAGATACAAACAAGATTTCTTTAACAGACTCACTGAATGATGAAGCCACCTGCCCAAACTAAACATCATACGTGTAAAAAGTGTTGTTTAGTAGCCATGCAAGGTGAAAGCTGGCTCAAAATGCACCCTAACCCACATCATTTATGGCAAATCCAAAACTTCTCTACCCTTCTATAAATATCCAAAATCTCCACTCTTCACTTCACTTCACTTCAAAAACTAAACACTCTTCCATGGCTCTTTCTCACTCTCTATTATCATAGCCATGGCTAAACCTTCTTTGCTCTCAATTTGTCTCTATTTACTTATTATGTTCCATTGCTGTGTTACTGATAATTGTAAGAAAAGAAGCCAACAGGAGCGAGACCGGTAGCGAGGAAGCCAATAATAACAAGAGGAGTGCCAGATCGAGAGGCTGAACGCTCAGGAACCCAAACGTCGCATCGAAGCAGAAGCTGGGTTGTAGACATCCCATTTTTGACTGCTCGCAAGACTTAGACGCTTTGTCCTGTACACTAGATGATGAAGTCGTGCTGAGTTGATGCAAAGTCTTAACGAAGGAACGTGAGCTCGCGCTCCAAAACCAATCCCAAACCCTTCATATTCATATTGTCTTTGCCCCACAAATTCATTGTTGAACATCATGCCACCCTACATTGAGTTTAAACCAGTGGAATAGGGAAAAACTTTGGGCATTGGCTGGAACACATTGGACGCCGGCTGTAGCCATCGGGAGCCGGCCAACACTAGATAGCAATAAACATTATTCTGGGCAGGAATGGACCAGTTGTCCATTTTTGAAGATATTTTCGACCTATTTTGATTGAATTCTATAAAACCGAGGTGATACCTCTGTTTTGAGGGCTGGAAAATTTCTAAAGAACTTATACACACAAGAGAGAGCTCCTTCTACCTACACAAGTCATCTTTGAGCTAACCTATCTCTCTTGATCAATATCCATACACCATACATCACCTTAGATCATAACCTTAGAACCTTGATTGTGCTTTGTAAATCACAATTCAAGCTTGAGAGTGGGCTTGAACCAAATTTGTGTTACAAATAAAAGTTTACTTCTTTGAGAGGTATAAGCTTGTCAATTTCTCTTTTACTTCTTGTTCTATCTATTGCTATCTATTTCTTGTGTTTTTATATTGTCTTGGATCCATTGCAAGTGTCTAAGCTTGGATTTGGATAGCTACCAAAGGGCAGAGAGAGTTAACACTATGGACAATCTAGTTGTTCCTTTCTTGCACCTTCACCTATAGCTCAAATCCATGTTTTACACCCTTTTCTTTGCTTTCCAAATTGATTTTCAGAGTTTAAAAGAGGCTAAAAATCAAGCTTTGAGGTTTCAAAGGTAGAGGGGTTAGCCACCCCTCCTTGTTCTTGCTTACTAACCTTATTTTCTTTGCTTGTTGTTTAGCTTTTTGGGATCTTTTTATGCACTTTGAGCTACTGTTTTTTCACCTATTAAGGGCTGTTTTAGGGTTGTCCTAGGTTATTTAATTGGTTCAAGTTTTAATTAGTTCATTGTTGTATCATAAATTCTCATATATAGCTTGCTGTGTGTTGTTCTTAGCTTTTCTTTAATTGATTTTCATGTTAAGAGCTTCATTTTAATAAGCAACTTATCATCCATTTCTTTCGTTTGAAAGTTGTTTCAACCGGTTGATGGTTATTCAAAACATGAGCTAGAGATTTATGCTTAATGGCTTAATCTCTACGAAGATTCATCGTCAACGACATGGTCTCTCTTTCATGTTGAGAATCACTTCCCGTTTGACATGCTTCTTATTTAGTAAACGTAATATTTAGTGGACGTAATCACCACCTTGGACAAATAGATTAAAGAATGACAAAGACTAATGAATTTGGCTTAAAACGAACCAGCCAACATAAAGAATATGAGTTATATTGCTTAGGTTCGGCCGGACGTTATGCCGAGTCTATTGTATCAAGGGTTGTCATACGTCAATCAATGATGTTTCGATGAACCTTGAAGCATTTCTATCTCCCTCTTTGAGCTTATTTCATGATAAGAGAGAAGGGGGGTCATTGTTGATTGCATTCATTAATTTTTTGTCCAAACTCATGTCCGAAGTTATCAAGCAATCAACTTGCTCATTGATGGTCTTAGTAATGACTTCGTTCTTCTCTTAAGGTTTTCCATGATAGAGAAGAACAGAGAGGACAAATAGGGCCTAGAAAGGCTTTATCTGCATTGTTCTCAGCTCAGAGCACAAAACATTATTTGGTATAAAATTTAGTATCGGCCGGCACTCTTTGGGTCCTGCCGAAGCTCATTTGGAGCCGGCCGACTCCCAATGCTTGGTAAACAAAGTGTTTTGCAAAAAACAGAGGGCAGTAGCTGAAGGTGAGACAAAGCAATCAGGGCAGACAGAGCAGCTTCTGGGCATTGTGCATGCAATCATTATATCTCATGGTTTCTTAGATTAATTTTTTTTATTTATTATTAGCCCTGTTGTAATTATTATTGTTGTAATTAATTATTGGCTTTGTCGTAGTTATTATTATTGTTTATTTTTTTTTTGTATAGCAAGTTAACTTAGATTACTAGTTTATTGCTCATTATCATAATGCCTTTGTTGTAATAAATTAGATAGTTTAGCTATTCATTTATTATTTGTTCCAACCTTGTAATAGGTAGTTAGTTTAGCTCAATTCATTCATTTGAATTTGTAATAATTAGTTTAAATTCGGACATTTATTTGCACCCTCCTGTGCGAGGGTAAGTATGTAATAAGTATGTATGTCTTCCAACCTCCATTTCTTTTTTCCTTTTAGTTACCCGCTTATGATGGTAGTATAGAGTATCATGTTTATTTAGCATTCCCATGTTTGCTTACACTCGTTTCATGTATATTTGGGTTCGGCTCATCATACTAACCAATATTAATTTCAAATTCATTGTTAGAAGATGTGATTTATCACATGCCTTGAATTGGATCATATACCATGCTCATAGCTGAGCCTATTAAAAAATTGCATAAATGTGTGCGTTGCATTAGTCACATTGTGTCGTTTAGAAACATGCATATTTTTTAATTATTTTGCTTTGATTGGCTTGCCTTGGAGTACTAAGTGAGTATTTATTACTTTAGCATTTTGTATTGCATGTGATTGTTGCCATGTCAAGCATGCTTTCCACGAGGCTAAATGCTTAAATGATATAACTCTTTGAATGCCTGTGGATGAAGGTTAATTGCAAAAATTGGGATAATTTGATTAATGTACATACAAACTCACATTTCCAAGTGACGAGTATCAAAAACAACTTTCAAACAAATATGAAATCAAAGTGTTTCAACTTTTACAAATTAGTCTGTACTTGTGTGCAACACATAGTAATATTAGTCTAATAATCGGAACAAGAACATATAATGTAAAGAAGAATCACTTCATGATTAGTAGAGGTTAATCTTTGATTGAACGAGTGGTGTGCTCAATTCATGACATTCCCCTCTCGTATCTAAGTTCCCGAGCCGAGACACTTTGGTGATGACGGATAAGTGGCCTTTGGCACGAGTCACGGGTTTCCTAAATTTTTCAAAAATATTTAGGAGGCGACTCTGAAGTTTTGTAACATAGTCCATTTTTAGCATTTTTTATTCAAATCGATTTTCCAAAAGAATTGCCGGATTTAGACTCTTTTTGTGTTTCCACTATTTCACATTGCACTTGTGAAATTAGATTCAAAACCACGGGAGTCCGAACTGTAGGGCTAGTTGTCATGACCCAAACCCGCCCTTATGGGTTTAGTACCGTAACCGACCAGTAATCCGGGATTACCGAAGGCCTGCTTGACAGTAATACAGAATACAGGGGCTGGGGGAAGCCAATACAGTAATTAAAATATGTCCAATGAGCTATGATAGTTTGTATGCAAAAAGACTTTTCATATATATGCACATTCAGAACAAAAGAGTACATACATAGATCATATACAGATATTCAGGTTAGGGACCGGATCCCTACCATAACAGTACAGTACGATGTCAATCAGTTTATACAGTAATTACAAAACAGATACAAAAAGGGAAAAACTAAAATACCCCCGAAGCCCTAGCTTGACAGGCTCAGAACCTCGCAGTGAGGCACAGTGGTTAGCTTTGACAAAAGGGAGTCTAACCCACGCTCCTAGCTCCGGTCTGGTGCGTGTACACCTACATATATATATGAGCAGTGAGCTAAAACCCAGTGAATAACATAATGCGTAAAGAGGTTAAGAATGAATGTCCTTTCAGTATTGAAAACAGTCAATTGATTCAGTATATCAGTCATTCAGTCATAACAGTCATATGTGGTACATCCAATAGCAGAACAGTACAGTAAACAGTAGGTCTTGAAAGACTGAACAGTCAATGATGGCCATCAGTAATGGTTCCAAACATGGGAACCGACAAAGATCTTTGTAACAGTAGCAGTAGCAGTAGCAGTAACAGTAACAGTAACAAAAGTTGCTAAGGATGCCACAATACAGTTAAGAATAGAGGACAAACATTCATTCAGTTAACAGTAAACGGTTCAATTACAGTTCAATTGATCATTCAGAAAATATTCATTTTCGAACATATCTTTACAACATTGTTACTCACAGAGTTCTGGACTACAGATAAGCTAGAGCGCGTCTCCGAGAGCCAACCCTACACAGTTACAGAGTGAACACACACTAAGCTACACAGTTGGAAAAAATAATAACTTAACCCCTATCTTGACTCGGTGTGGTTCTACATCAATATCCTCATTAAGATGCCTTAAACTAGGCCTAAGAGTGCCTAGAATGGAATGAGGATGCAAAGATGCACTATAAAAACATTTTCAGAAAACAGAGTTCCCGCTCGAGCGTCACTTACCCCACTCGAGCAGACATGCAAACAAAAGTATCCGCTCGAGTGTAAGATTCCCCGCTCGAGTAGACTGTAAAAGTACTGGATGTGTGAAAATCACGCTCGATTGGGCGCTCGATACCCGCTCGAGCGTGTGAAACAAGTCCTCGCTTGAGCGTCCAATACCCCGCTCGAGCGGACTGTAAAACAGTGCAAAGTGCTGGATGCACGAATTTCACGCTCGAGCGCCAGAAACTCCGCTCGAGTGTGAGTCCAAAATCTGAAATTTCCAGATTTGAACCTCAAGCTCAAAAACAAGTTTTAATATACTAAATTTGATCATTTTGGGCTAATTTTCTAGAAAACACTTCAAAACTCATAATATAACATGTTTCAAAGGTCAATTTGAGAAATCAAAACCCAAAGGTAGTTCAATTAAATCCAATTTCAAACTAAACTTTCAAGAACATGATAAACATGTACATGCATGAATTTAAACACTTCAAAGCTTCAAATGCTAGCTCAACTGAGCCAATTCTTTTCAAAACAAGATAAATTCATGGTCCTTAGCAAAAATATGAACATGCATGAAGCAATCTCATGAACAA